AGAGTCACTAATACAAAATTCCTTATCTGAGGGACACTTACAGGCCACGACCAGGGCTCAAAGTTAATACCGTAGCTATATGCTTCAAAACCAAAAGTGTTTTATATACTATTATTGCGGCCAAGTCGCCTCGGGGTAAATGTATCTGCTTAACTATCTAGAATAGCTAAACCTTATCAAATGCATGACGTGTGGCTTTCAGCCAGCGTAGTGAGAGGCCTTGTTCACTCTTCGACTTATGTACTATTAATTTGCTAGCTCTCCGGGTACTCCGTGCCCCTGTGTGTTCCACACCATGTAACCCGCTTTAGCGAAAGCACAGTACACAGAGCTCAAATCTCCCTCTAGAGCCGCTCATTGACTGAGCAGGTACGGTAGTGACGTGTTCGCTCACTACTCGGGGTGTGTAAATGGGGTGACGTACACCCAAGTGCCCCGGTTGCTAGTTCGGCTAGGAAGGGAGTGACTCTGAATAGGACGGGTGACGAGTGCTGCGCTCGCAATCTCTAACAGGTGTTTGTATACGTTAATGCGTTAATATCATAGATAAATGAAGCGTTAATGCGTAGAACATAGCATGGTTGGTATATTTCACGTTTGCAGCAGCAGCGGGACTTTTCCTTGAATAGGTGGGTACTCGGCTTCCACGTGAGTTGCAAATGCTCGTCGACCATAACTACGGATCTGACCGCCACCAACACAGCCGTCACTATTAATTTTGAGGAGGCTGAGATGTTGCCCGTTCGTCGGCATTTCGATTGCACCGCACTACCACAGTAAATAAACGATTTTCTGGCACTGCAAGCGTGACCATGTTCTTATTCACCCTGCCTACCCCATCGGCGCGTAAGCACGACCAGGGACGCCCATTACCGTCAGTAGCCCATCAATTGCCCCAGAAATGCGACAGAACCTAAGACACTTCGGTGTCGTTGCAATCTACCGGAGCTACCCCACGGCGTTCCAGCTCAACAAGGGCCACCCATGATACTCACGGCAAAAGGATACTGCGACATGCTCCACAGGCAGCGAGTACATTGTCAGTAGGCCAGAGCGGTCATCTCACATCGATGGCGCCGACTGCACCTTGGCGCGAGGCTCCGCATCCGCTTCCCACGTCATGTAGATGTCGGCCGATACAGCACCGCGCGCAACGTTGCTATGCCCCGACCATCACGGCAACCCGTTTACAGTATTAGCCTCCAAAGCTAAATTCCGCTCCGGTCTGTGGGACTTAGTACGCCCGCATCCTATTAGCACAGCATTAGGTCTGAGACTTCCGAATACGATCCCGGCACCACTTGACGGCAGGCCCTGTTTAAATAAACCGCCCCGGAGCGTGCAATCCAAATTTGTGGGGTACACATTGCGCTTCATCAGTTCATCGAGCAAGTCCGTGGCCAAACAATCGTAAGGTACTGGCTCAGCAAGCGCATGGTTCCTGCCGTTATTAATTAGGCGTATAAAGGCTACCAGCACCTAGATGCTTTACTTGACATCACGGCTTCTGATGTCCGGGCCCCACTGCGCAGCCCCCTACCAGACCAACGGATGTATCCGACTACCACAGATTAGTGACCTACCGTTAACCTGTGCTGGTAAGGAATGTTCGAAAGAGACAAGACCAGTGGTGCTGCCTCGTGCTAGACCTGGACATTCTTGAGAGGTGCACATCGCCACGTTTGGTGTAGTAGATAGTGACGTGACTGATCCACTCACGACCGGACGACTTATTCACGATCTCCCCTTTTTCAGACGGCCAATTCGTAAACGACCACACGGATGCAGCCAGCATTTTCTCTCCGAGATTCGAACTTGACGACTCAATTGCAGCCGAGTTCATACACCAGCAAGAGATTCACCCGGACACTGAAGTCCATGTGCATACCGGCGGTGTGACGTCGGCCTTTTGCACTGTATACAGACTCTCACTACCGACTTCTTAAGCCGCTCAGACCACCGTTCTTTTGATGGTCGACTCCAACATGCTACCACCTGGGTGAGACCTGCTTGGCCGTTTCTTTTGCGGCTACGCCAACAAGATCGCCATCTGTACCACTGACAGCGGATTCCGGTCTTGTACGTCATGAAAGAGGATGGTAAAGTATTCGTTACCGGTCATGGCTTTTCCGTTGAAGTATCCTCGTACTCTCCCTGCACCGAGCGTCGTCCTTGAGATGGACGCTTCCGACACCGGACGGTGCGTTCTCGAGCCAGCCTCCCGTCTCGTGCTACGTTATGTCTTTATCGCGGAAGAGCGACTCAATATCCGCACCAGTAAAGCCGACGCTACTATTGGCTTCGAGATTAACTACCGGGGGCTTTGGTCTTGTGCGTTTGCAATACATGCTTTACGCTGTGATAACGTACCGGGACTATGCCCGTAGACGTCCGTTTCATGTTGAACAACACGTCTGCCGTGTCATGGCAGAACAAAATGGCGACTAGCAACCACCGAGCGCAAACTATCACTCTTTTGATAGGACTATGAGAGCTCGTATTCGGTCTTCATTGCTCAACAGTCCACGTGGATGGTGCACAGATCGGATCACTGAAGCCGGCTCGCGATATCCAGGTAGCATCGCCATGGCTAGTTTATTTGATCAACGAACAATTGTTTGGAAGCAGGTGGACATCACAACCGGTATTTTAAGACTGGAAAGGGTCTGGCACTCCGTCTCCGAGCACACTCCGTCGCAGCATCGACATACGTCAAGTATAAAGATGCGCTAGTAGTCTGGTACATCCAGACTTCTTGTCGCAGAATTCAGCCAGCATAACTTGGCTACCATTTAAGTTGCAATTCGTTTCTGATTTCGTTCTGCACGACTTCCAATACAGCTACGATTCGAGTAGGTCCATTCGCGGTTCTTTTATCGCGGCCACTCTCCGTACACTCATCATCTTTTTAAAGCCTCTGCGATCAAGTTCCAAGCGATCATTCACAAGTACGCATGGTCATCAAATGCATCAATCGTCTCGACGGCCCCGCCTTACGCAGGTCGCCGGTTTCGCTGCAACTCTTAATACAGTGCCACACTACGCTCGACCTATCAATTCCTCGAGATCAAGCTCTCTGGGGGCTTTATTTTGTATATAGCTTCTTCTTTCTACTCCGACGCTCGGAAATCGCGTCAGCCTGCAAAACGTTCTCACGGTTTACCTTGAAGGTAGAAGATATTGCTGTACTGGGCCACAGTGGATCAGCCACAATCGTCGCCAACAAGGCCGCGTCTGTTCACATACGCCTCAAAGGGGCGAAGCCAAACCGGCGAGGTGAACCTACGCAGAGAGTGCTCGGCCGTTCAGGTCACAAATGGCTATGCCCAGTGTTCAGCGCTATGTGTCTCCTGAAGGCCCATCATACGCTACCACCAGCGAATCCAGTGGCGATGTTCGTCAGCAATAATGGCATAATCAACTGCATCTCAGCGTCTTAAATAGCAAAGACAGTTCGTCAGACCGGCTTGACGCTTGGCTTTGACCCGGCAGCGTTTAGTACCCACTTCTTGCGAGCTGGTGGGGCAACACACATGAACCGCGCGGGAATCGACGCTACTACAATCCAGTTCCACGGACGATGGGCTTCTGATACATTCAAGCAATAGACTCGGTAAGGAATCCGTCGAAGGCCTGGTAAGCAAGATCATTGTCGGATCGAAACAGTTGCGGCGCCTACAGTAAGGGCTTACGGAATCCACGCAGGGGGTGGTCAGATCATCAGTAAGTTGAAGCCAATTTCGTAAGCTCCTTTTGAATGTAGCCTTATGTGTGTTTCACCACGACTGTGTGTATCAAGGAAATTGAGTTTCTCTTCAAGAACTTGCATTCAACACGCTTACGCAAATGGCCTCTTTAAAAGGGGAATTTCCACATTTACCACAATATATCTTATTGTGGTATGAGAGGTTAATGGAAATCGATATGGATTGCGCGTTTAGCTAGCGAATCAGCAATCATCACTTTCCTACACCAACTACCTGTTAATGATCGAGCTCCTACGAACTCTATATATTGAATTGCATCGAAATGTTTATTCCGATCGATGTTGATTGTGGAACGCAGTACTTTTTTTTACAAACTTAACCCTTGGAGACCGAGAGTCCGCCTCAGGGACTCTTTGAATCTGACCAATAAGAGTGCTATATATAGCTATTTCTGCCAATACCGTGCCGTTATTTACAGCAACGTCACAATGTACTTTCTACTAGAGTCACCAGACTTGAGTGTCGGTATGACATAAGTGGGCCAAAAAAGCATATTTGTCCAATCATATGCCTGAGTTAGAGGATGTGGGCCTTACCAAAACAACCTCATATACATGTACTGCGCTACGCAATGTACAGTGCTGCACCCCGTCTTCGCGGGGGTGGACCATATAGGATTTGCAAATAAAAAATGTTTTAGCAAACGAATTATTTTTCATTTAGATTTATGATCATTACATCCGGAAGTTTATCAAGCGCGAAAACGTGGTGCAGTACTTTACATAGTACGGTACAGTATCATTCTTGCGGTAAGATTGGAAAGGTTCACTAAGCCTCTGTTACTACCGACTAAACGTAGTTGAAATGATTTTCAATCAAAAACTCTTTATTTGCACAGCTGTGTAGTAATTTCTGGCAAGGCGTGCTCTCGCCATAAGCCCATTACTCGAAAAGCTGAAGCTTTCGATCACAGCATATGGCACTATGGAGCAAACAAGCACGATACGCTAGAAATAGGTATGAGTAGATATTAATACACGGGTACCGGTAGATGAAGTCATAGATGAATTCGGGTCGGGCAAGATACGCGTTAGCCAGTGGTTAGATGATCTCAGCGCCCCTGGGGCATGAAGACGAAGTGCGAATCGGGGTGGATGAGCCGGACGCGCATGCACTGATGATGAAGATATTAAAGTTCGTGTGTATCGACGATTGACGGCAAGCACAGCATACATGTATTATAATAATCGTTTGGGATAGGCGTAACCTCACATCGTTGTGTCCTCTCATGGCATGATGCAAGCCGACCACGGTTAGTTTTTTGTGGCCACAATTTGCTTCATCGCAGCGATAGCATGTACAAATGTCACGGTTAGTTTTTTTGTGGCCGCAATCTGCTTCATATCGCTCACAGCATGTGGAACGGCGGGAATGATTAAAAGCTTTGCTCTCGCACGACGACATCCAACAGCCCAAGTCTTTATCAACTATAATACATGTAACAGGACTCTTCATTTTCGATTTTCCTTACTTCGGGTCAAGTCTACCAATTCAAGCCCACCTCAGCTATGCCCTCCCTGACTTCTATCGCTTCCGCAGCCTTTGCTTTGGCTCTGCTGTCCGTCTCGAACGCCCAACACGCAACTCAGCAGCAGCAGCAGACCCCCCACCAGTCAAGCAAAGGAGCTGAACCTGACAGCAGCATGCTGCTCGCGGCGTTGAACGACGTGGACTCCTACAAGTCGTCCACGCTCATTTGTCTCTACAAGGTCAACATGCTGGATGTTAAGAAAGACACCTACAACTACAGCGTCACCGGATGCAAGGTGGACCCCGAATTTGTGGGTCGTTGCCCCGACCTGACCACGTTCCCTGGTTGTGGCAGCTACAAGGTCGTCCTCACCTCAAAGTCGAAGAAACCCAAGGTGATGTCGATCAAGTAGGCGTCGAAGTAAGGCGCCGTGAAAGTGGTAGTTGAACCACACTCTTTCGTTGTTTGAGTATGCCTAAACCATTTTAGGCTCCACAGAGCGTAATGCAAAAAATACTAATTCGAGTTTTTAATACTACATGTATTAATACTGTAGTAGCCATCTTCTATAATAGAGTAGACTACCTACAATACATTTTTATGCACATTCTACTTTAATGGAGAAAATTGAGATGTGGCAGAAATATTATTTCTAAAAAAAAACGGCTTTATAAAACTTTTATGAGATTCTTAAGAGTGAGAGGTTGTTGTTCAGTAAGGAATGAAAAGGAATTTATAAATCGCTGGTAATACCGGTTCTGGCATGGTCCCGGTCAACAAAGTCAGTAATACCGGTACAGTATTAGCGAATCGTCGACGACGATTGAGTCAGCAAATAAATCTCCTTTCTTGGAGACAATCCTGGGCTCAACAGCCGAGATATAGGAATTAGCTGTGCTGCAGTCTCCCCAACAGCCCTACAACACAGCGTATGGCACAAGTACCATTGGTACGTGTACAGTATAATACTATAATACACGTGCATCAAAACGTACCGACAATCCTCTTTGGAGTATTATCCCAAAAAGTGATACCCTCTACATGTATTATAGTTTAGGAGGTTGGACTCCATCCAACTTGGAGACTCCAACCCGCAGCAGCGATTGATAGTATCTCAAAAATAATACTACTGTAGTAGCTTTTTTGTTACTCTTACTACTGGTATAAGCGAATATCGATATGCGGATATTGGAGATTTCGTAAATATCAGGAAGTCACTCTAAAATAGGAGTACAAGTACAGTACTGCACCATGTTTTCGCGCCCTCGAACCTATGATAAACTTCCGGATGAAATGATCCTGAATCTAAATTAACAATGACTTGTATGCTAAAATATAATTGTTTTTGGAAGTCCTACATGTATTTGGTCCACCCCCGCGAAAACGGGGTGCAGTACTGTATCTGCAAAGCACCAAACCCCTAATAATTACTATTTTGTGGCACTTAAAACCACTAAATTCATTTGGTTAGTTACGCCCGAAAAGGTCCAGCAACGAAATCTTCTTTTTCCTTCCCCCCTTGCTACCCAATTACACGAGCTCGTCAACGACTATGACATCTTCTGCGTGCTAAGAACTCTTTGATAAACATAAGGTCTTTTGCGTGCAAGCGCGACAGCATCACGGCAAATTCATCGGTGATGGTGTCCTCGTCTTAAGACGGGTGCGGGTATGCATAGAATTGTAGAGCTCCACGCTCCAGATAAGGACTTCGGGCGTGCTCACGCTGTACAGCTTTGCAGCCGTGACATATTCAGCAGTATGCATAAATGCGATGGAGCACTACAAGAGGACCATCGGCGATGGTACTCTTGTCATGGTACAGCTCTACATTCCGCGATACATGTGATTTTATTGATACGGCTAACAAAAATAAATAAAATGTACTGGGATTATAAAAAAAAATTATATTTCTGTTTACTTAATTAAATCTCAGTGAATTTTAATGGGTACAGAAAATATGGACTTTTCCCACTAGTGCGCAAAAAAAACGACGTGCGGCACAAATGATTAGAAGAAAAGGCTAAATCGCAGCAGTCGTTTTGTACCCATATTCCTCACACGTTAAACACAAAAAAGGGTACACTCATCTAATAATCCGCTCATCATATCAGTACAAGGAGGGACAACTAGTAGTTTCAATTAAAGATACAAGCTTCTACGAAAGCCGCAATGCCTGCAACTTCAATCTTCACTTCATTCTTCTCACACGTCCCAGTAGTACAAGCCGCGCATGGATCTACCAGAAACAAGTCGTCGGTATAGTGCAGCGGTGGCGGCAGCCAAATTCGCGGACCAGCGTCTGAAAGCTCGAGCACTCGCATATTACAACGGCATCCTGCTGCGGTTCGCAGAGTTCTGCCGCGCAGAAGGGTTCCCGGACCCTCTTAAACAGCGCTTCTTTCAACTACCAAATGTCATTGCGGCCAACATTAATTAACTCGCGACGAAGGACAAGAGACAATGACCCACCGAGAAGCACCGAGCTGTAATTAGTTGGCACTACACGAAACCAGAGATGCTTGCTGGCGGTCATCCGCATGACGCTGAGTGACCGATAAGGCCGCAGATAGGGCCTTGTGGCACATTGCAACCCGGCCCGATCTGCTGCTATTAAACATATTCTCGCCGGGATTAGCAAGGCAAAGAAACGACATCGAACACTAAAGCGAGCACTTCCAATGTCGTTGGTGATGCTATCAAAGATTATCATTTTCCTCGAATCTGAGTCGACATTTAGCGAGACGGTGAGAGCGCAGTGTTTTGTTGGCTTCTGATGCGATATCATATTCTAGTGCGTCGTTGGAATGACTGCAGGATATGAGCTACATGCAGCACTCTGACGGCGGTGATAAGGATGGACGTGGGAAACCGGATGCTGCAATTGACAGCATGCCTGATACTCTATCATCCGCGGTCGTTAGCGAGCTAAACACGCGCTGTTAGGTGGCTTACGCGACATCGTTAAGAATACAGGGGCAACCCCAACTCGACCCAAGACACGGTACAGCAAGATTGCACAAGTGATCAGACCGCGCAAGTTTGCGACGACGATACAGACACTACGCATTTGGTCTCGGAGTTTCCGGGTGCAAAGTAGTGGAGACTTTACGTTAAACAGTATTGGTCGCCTAATCCAGCGTCTTATCAATATCGAGCGGGCGTTGACATGCTCTCACATGAACGAAAGATTAAGCGCTCACAGATGTTCAAGAATGAAGATCATCGCGCAGTTTATTAAGGCTGAGTTCTATGACGACCTGGATTTATTTAAAAGAACCTTTGCGGTCACATGTGGGGAGAGCTGACGGCTGGCAACATCTTTGCTGACAATTGAAAGAGGAACGACAACAGTCCTCGTCGTCCTTAACCCTTCTAGAACGGTATTCTGTATCCTACAGAATAAGCGTTTTCGCAGTATTTAATATCCAGAAATGTTGGCTGCGCTGTCGAATCTCGCATCTATTATTTTGTATGTGTGCTGATCAGTCGACCGCTCCTAATAGATCTGCGCTGGGTAGATAGCCGGGGATTAGCGTGTTGGCATAGACAGACGAGTATAAGGTTTAAAAATTAAGATGACAGCCCACACAAACGCGTGTCAGCCACTCCATCTTTCCCCCATTCGGAAAGATGAACGGTCCTGGAGAGAAGTCGTTCACGCAGCTGTGGCGTGACCTGTGCAAGGAAGGATGGAAGGCTCGTAAGCCTACCGGTATCGCTAAAGACCACCGCTACGTAAAGCCAGGAATCAAGGGCCGCCTCGATGATTCGCGACGCGGATTAGACTTCTTTAAAGGTGGGAGGATGTGATTGTAGCTAATAATTTTCGTTGTACTAATATCTGCTTTGATCCAGGTGAGAAGGATCTTATGGCGTTTGCTCGTCTCTCAGGCCTCCTGGATCACCAACCTTCCAGCGCATCAGTGGGCTCTATCGTCCGACGACCCATTGGCAAGCAAGCAGCTTATGCAGCCATCGGTGTTGACCCCCCATGCGTTCCATCCCCCACGACAAACCAGGCTTCAGTGGCGCCGGCCACAACTGCGAGTAGAGAATTGGTCGCGACTGTTTCTTTACTGACTTCCCTCGGTTCAGCACCTGATGATACGCATACAGCGGCGGTTATCACGAAAGTAGTTGACGCTCAAGCGACAGAACCATCCGGTATGACAGATGCTACAGAGCAAGGTGATGGAGCAGATGATGTTGTTCAGGATGATACAGAATTGCATCCCAGGGAGAACGCGACAGATGAAGAAGAAGGCAAAACTGAGAGCGAAGATCTGAACGAGACTGAAAACTTCGTTGATTTGGACGTGTTCGACAGCGATAACTTCATGGAGGGTCTCCGAAAGGAGCCCCTGTTTGGCCCGACAGCTGATGACGATGTGAACTTGGTGGATAGCGCTGACTTCTGCGATTCCGATTCAGATGCAGATGATGATGGGATATTGGAAGACAATGAGGTGATTACGTCTTCTCTAGAAGGTACCAACGATGTTGAAGATGTCCCAATGACTGAAGACGTCTCTGAAGCTGAACTGTTGGGGTTTACGGAAGATGCCTTACGTGATATCGCTGGAAATGGAAGGGTGACGTATGACGAAGAGCACAGCGGTAAGCCCGGATAGCACAGAATAAATTAAAACACATATAAACTAAATCTGTACATGACATATTTGCAACAATGTAGATGATTTTCAAGTTGATGCAGCTGCGGACTATTATGACGGGGAATTTGGGCCTACGCGTTCTGCAGTTGCGTACGCAGATTCTCCATTGAAAATGTTCTTTTACTTCTTGCCAAAGGAACTATGGAGTCATATCGCCAAAGAGACGAACAGATACAGAGCCCAGAATATCACCGTCATTGCCACGTCACGTAGGAACAAGTTGCTGGCTCGGCAGGCTAAGGATCCTCGCATCAGTGTTCCTGATTTGGCGGATATTGAAGAAGGGCTGAAGAAGTTCAAGGATATACAGCCCCATGAGATCGTACACGTCGTAGCATTACTCATTGCTCGCGCAATAGCACCGATTCGAGATGGACTTGCCAAACATTGGTCTACCGATGAAGATGGTGCTGTTCCACGAGCAACATTCTCTCGCTTCATGAAGCGTGATCGCTTCGTAGCGATCTTAAAGTTTCTTCACTTCAACAACAATGAACAAGGTGGAGTGCTTGTGGATACGGCCTGGAAAGTTCGACCGCTACTGCAAGCTGTTGAGAAAACGTTTCGCCGTGGATATCGCCTCGGAAAAGTAATCTCTTTTGATGAAGGCATGATGGCTAATCGAAGCAAATACAACCCAATGCGCGTCTTCATGCCAGACAAGCCCTGCAAGTATGGCACCAAATTCTACATGACGTGCTGTGCTGACACCGCGTACTGCTCAAGGTAAGACAAGCTATTTTAAATAGTACCGAACATCCTATTCTGGAGGATACAGATTAACATGGTGTGTACTTATGGTATTCGTATGTGATATAACTTAGAGTGAAAATCTACTGTGGAGCTGACAATCGAAGCAGAAGAAGAGAAAAGCACCAACAGACACACTGGGACTTGGCCCAAAAGCTGTCGTAAGCAATATCTCGAAGGTGTTGATGGACCAGCCGAAGAAGCGACTGATTGTTACCGACAGTTTTTACTCTACCGTATCGCTCAGTCTGAAGCTGCTGGACATGGACTTGTACCACGTCGGGACTACACGTACCGACAGGTTAGGTTGGTGCCCAATTCACTTCACGCAAAAGAAAAGACCACAGCGCATGCCACGTGGAACCTACCGTATTGCCCAAGCGCGAGACCACCCCGAGCTCGTCGCACTGAGCTGGATGGATTCCAAGCCAGTGAACATGCTCGCTATTGGATGTAGAACGCGTCGCACCAGTGTTCTCCGCACGCAGAAGGATGGAACCCACACTCCAGTTCCGTGTCCACAGCTGGTCGTGGACTACGGCCTCGGTATGGGTGGAGTTGATGTCCGCGACCAGCTACGACTTCACCGCTACAGTATTCAAAGTGCATTTCGCTCCGGAAGTATTACAAGCAGCTATTCCTGTGTATCGTAGACATGGCCGTTGTCAACGGTTACATTGTTCACTGCATTACAGTCAAGAAAAGAGGAGAGAAGCCACCTACACACGCAGAATACCTGCGCCGCTTGCATGTACAGCTACTGGCGCTGCGTACAATCAACTTCGAGACGCATCTCAGCGCAGAGGATCTAGTTTCAGGGCCGATCCCCCGCCAACAACACTCGTTAGTGAACACAGACGATTTCTACACAAAGGGAACGCAGCACAAACGAAGACAATACTTGTGCAAAGTGTGCTCCGCGTACTCCGATGCCAATACCAAGTCATTTGAGACCAGCTTCTTCTGCCAGGAATGCAGTGACGCGTTTGGTGGACGGGTGCCGCTTTGCCGTCAAGTACGGCACGTCGAAAGCGGTAACTCGCTAACATGTGCGCAGATTTGGCACGACACTTGGAACGATGGTAAGTGCATTCCGCCAGCTTTAAAAAAGAAGATAAGATTCCGTAAGCGTAAAAGAGATAATGAGACTGAGGAATAAGATAACCGTAAGGGTAATAAGATAAGAACACTTACAAGGCGTATAGCGACTTCGTAGTGGCGCGCGCAGAGAAGAAATTGCCCTGTTCCTCCTCACTAATCCGTTAGTTAGGAACTGGGCAAATTCTTCCACTGCGCGCGGCCCAGGTTTGACGCGCGCTGTTTGGCGCCAAGATGGGTGGCTGAAACATAGAGATGGCCACTTCCAGTGATAGTACCGAAAAGGACGGGTATTGCTTGGTAGGAGGTTTTGACCGAGTTCTGTTCAATCGGGAGCCAATAGAAAATCGCTATTTGATCTGATGGTGGATACATTGTGGGATCTATGCACACATCTGTGGCTTCTTTGCGTTTAATCTGCTCCGTTTATTTACAACAGGCGCGAAATGGCTCAACACGGCATACTTTTCGCAGGTTTTCTGGCATACTTTAATCAAGGTATTTCCTTAAATATTCTGTAGGATACAGAATAAGAGGCAGAAGGGTTAATCGCACAGTCGTCCTTAGTTGTGCTATATATTCAATACAAATTATTACTCTATCCGCTAGTTGTGTATATTCAAGACATGTATGTATCAATATGTCATCACATTATCAAAGGCACCACACTATTTATCATTCATAATCTCATCCGAGTCCGAAAAGCCTTTGAGGTCGCTCGGGTGGTACTCGTCCGCACTGATGTCATCATTCCTGGCCTCGCTTTCCGCAGCTGACGCACTGTCGGACTCCTCGTAATCAAATGCGCTGTCGTCGTTGATATTGCCATTTTCGTCACTTGGTGAATTCAATGCGTAGAACCCCGAAACCGGGAATAGATGCAAGCAAAGTGAGCACTGCATATTCTTGTGCTGGTCTTGCCTAGAAACAGCTCGCTGTACTCCACAAGACAGTGCATATGGAGGGTGTGACGACATTGCGGTCCTTCGAGAGCTATCCCAGTGATAACTGGCGCGTAAATAGCGAATGCTCCTGGTGCAAAATGTAGCCAAACGTTGAGTCGTGCGGTCGTACAAGATCCGTTTTCCTTATCATAAATCTGAAACAGCTCTATTGACTCATTCGTCTTCCAAACATAGACCTACAGTAGACATAATGACACGTTCACACAAACAGGAAACATATTTCTTTTTGAAATATTTAAAACACATTATTTTTCTTCTTAAATTTATTTCTTTAAAAAGCTTTTTAAAAACAGCTTGTGACTATGTGGTTCACATGAAATATGAACATTCCGTCATTTCGTAAAAAAAAGCTCTACGATGATGGCGTGGAGCTGCGGTCTGCTGCTGCTGTGCGTGGTGGGCGTGACGGGAAGGAGTCCAGTGGATGAGGAACTCATTGCAGCCGAGGTGGACGAGACGGTGCGCGCATTTGCGACTGTGGAGAAGCAGCTGAACGCGGCGCAACAAATGTCCGAGCTCTTCTCCTTGGAGCACACGCAGTTGCAGCTGCTCTCCCTGGAAACGCGAGCCAAACTGTCTGTCATACAGGAAGAAGTAGAGAAAGAAATGGAGACGGCAATGCGTGAAGTGAGTCAGGTGCGTCAAGACGCACTGGAGAACGTGACGACGTGGCAGAAGACGCTACAAGGACTTAAAGAAGCCACGCAGAAGAACAAGCAGACGCTACAGAAGATCAGAGAGGAGAAGGAGAATCACACACGAGATATTCAAAGAGAATTGAAGCTGCAACAAGCACAAGAAGCGAAAGTTAAGAGACAGTTGGAAATGTTACAAGAGCTGGAGAGACAGCGAGCGTTAGAGAAGCAACTGGAGCAGCAGGAGGTGAATAGATTGCAGGAATTGGACCAACAAGAGCTTGAGAAGCAGCGAGCTCTACATCAGCTACGAATATTGGAAAAGGAGACGCAACAAAAGCTGCAGAAGGAGCAGAAAATGACGACAACTAGTAGCTCGTACTTAACGCAGAGCGAGAATACTCCGTCCTTGGAGGAAGTTGAGCGTGCGAGCACAGTAAAGAGAGTGCTGACTTGGTACGTATCGACAGAGCGAGCGGTGATGAGTGCAGCGACCTCAGTTTATCGACAGCTGGTGCTGCCTGTGGCGGTGATTCTCGGGTTCTTTCTCTTGTTGACGGTGCTCATTGCTAAGTACAATGCAATACAACACGCGAGACGCAATCGACGAGTCTTGTACTCTGGATATCCGAAAAGTTATCGGCCTAAGACAAAGCAGCAGCCAGAAGAGGATCTTCGACCTCGCGTACGTCGACCACTTCCACGACGTGATCCGAATGGATTATTGGAAAATTGAAAGATTCTTTTTGTGGCTGACGAACGAAAGACTTGATGAACAGTCAAAGAACATTTATTTAAACTATTGCAAGCGCACGAGTTTCTCGAGTAGAAATGAAAAAGAAAAAAAGATTGAAAAGGAGGTAATGTATCTCTGAGCATCTTACAACAAATATTGGAGATGTAAATGTTCAATTCGGTAGAGTAATACACCATTTGATGGAAGGCCAACCCTGCAGCGGTAGTGAAAAAGAAAAAAAATGTGGCGCTCTCACCAAACCACCCCGGTACGTTATCTAAATAAAAAAAATGAGCTCACTTCAACCCGATGATTCCTTCATTCTATTTTAACCCTCCACCGATGTCAAGTAAAACGTAGCGCTATCAGCGTGAGTAATCGACTGGAAATGCTAACCGAACTGATCGCAACTAGCCGAGCGCCGCCGCTACGCGGCGGTAATTTAGGTTTTACTCTAGATTTTTGCCTTCCCGCCTTCGCTTCGCTTTGGCGGGATAATTAGTCCAAATCCTCTGAGTCCCCCATGTGCCTAAATCGACTTCTTTATTTTTATAAATCTGCGTTTCTTTTGCTACAAATTGCTGAGCTCCCAGTAAGCCGTGTAAATATTTCTACCGGTACAAAAGACTGAGACCCTAGCATCATACTTACCATGCTCATAAACGATTACGCTAGTGATCTTGGCAAAGTCTCTTTGTTGTTGTTGGCGATCACTGTACCTTAATCTTCCACCCAGAAGCACCTGCACTTCAGTCTAAAAACGCTGAATAATATATTTAGTTTAGCGTCGTGATCGATTTCACGGGCCGTTTCTGAAACCTAGATTGCAACAATGCAAAGAATATCTGTCCAGCTTGCATCAAATACCCGCTTGTACTGCCTGGTTAAGCTTGTAATAAACTGACTATTAACCACTTCGCATACCAAACTCGCTACTTTGAAAGAAAATTAAAAGTGTAACAGTTTGAATATTTAATAAAAATATTCAGGCTGTAGCATTTTCTTATGCATTGAAGTGTGTTCATTTTGTGCTGATTCAGAATTAGTCATTAGACACTCCAATCTGTGCCTGTTATGGTTATACTGTAGCCTTTGGATATTACGATGCGTCGCACGACGCCTTTTGTTGACGGCGGTATTTTTATTTGATACTTAAACGATGATTCCAGGATGGTTAAACGTAGATTAGGCTCTAAGTTGATTAACGTTTCTTTACGGGCCTACTTATAATAACCATAATTTACACCTTTCATGTTGTGTTGTTATCTTACCGCTGCATGTAAAACCTTATTCTACGCCTTGTCGGCAACGCGTCTGCCTATTAAGAAGTATCAGAATTTTGTTGTCTAAATAAACGCTTAGGAAACAATACAGTAGTAATTGTCATCAGCACATATTACTTCTTTTCCACGTCAATCTAAACTATCTATCTTTGTGGATCTAGTGACAACGTTTATAAGCACAGCTTTGTTCTTACGGCAAGCCCACACGACCGGCTACTGCTGTACATGTAACATGTACGATTTAGCAATACCAGAAACCCACTCAGATAACTTATTATTAATAATGTTAATATCTTTACAATAAAAAAATTGAAATTATCATTTTAGTCAGTGTAACTCGCAGATCCTACTGAGTACAGAGTATTTAGTATACTTGAACCATGTCCTCGGAAACACGCATGCTTACGTGTACGCTAAGCACCCTGCCCTCCGTTTAGTACTCAAATATCAATGCATTATGAAAAAGTATAAAATATTAAAACGATGCCGCCTTCGGATAATGTATTAGCTTTGTGCAAATCCCCATATGTAAACTGGGAAACACATGCATTTATTGATGTCAACTACACGTTCTAGTTTTAACCAATTAAGGCCACCTTCGCTGCGCTCGGCAGCCAGTAGAAATATTTAAATTATTTTATCCAATGATTTGTCCGGAAAAGCGTGACAGGCACGACAATTTAGTGTGACGGACAGACAGGTTGCTGCAGTAGATGTTTAAGACTAGCCGTTCGCCGCCGCTACGCGGCGGAGTGGCATGGTTTGTTGGAGATGAGGTGGCCGCAAATTTAAGTGCTTCTTGGTGTCGCGTGTTTTGAGAGCGTGGTTCACCCCGTAGACCTTGGCATCGTGTATTTAACCACTTGCCTTTCCGTAGTATCATGTGGACCCGTACAATATCGTGATTTGGTACATTTCGGTTATCCGTACTGCAGGTTGTAGTCATGTTCTTCAATGGCCTGCGATCTTATGTGATCTTCCCGGCATCGTGGTTTCCTGCTCACCCGTGGTCCATAATGCTTGGTAATTATGGACCCTCTCTCTTGGGCTCATGCTCTTCAGTAGTATGACCCTCTTTCGTGGATGCTAACTATTTCCTGATCTCAAACGTTTACGGGGGCTGCACTGGTTTCGTGGTTCATAGTCTTTTGTGGTCGTTGGTTTCCCATCCAAGTACTCTACCTGAAGGGTCCTAATCCGTGGTTTGGTGCCTCCACGCAGTCGTGTTGTTCGGTCGCCCGTGTATCGCGCTCTCCTGGTAAGATTCCATCGACCGCGTTACGACGCTATGGAGCAATCGCGGTGTGGTAATGGTGTTTATGGTATTGTGCTCGCGTAGTGCATCTGCGTTGCCCGTGTTATCGTGCTCTACATGGGCTTCGTGCTCCACGGTGTGCAATCGTGGTCACCCCAAGCACCCCCGTGATCTTCGTGGCTGGTCTGCCGTCCGTGCAATCGAGTTTTAATGTGCTACTGTCCTCCGTGGCTCGGGGAGCTGAGCTTCTACGCTGGTATCGTGCTCCGTGGCTCAAAGATCTCCCGTCTATAGCTCCTGTGGCTGTGCTCCCCTATGGCTTAGTGGCACAGTCCATGCTATCGTGTTAGCTTGCGATGTTGCGGTTAGTCTGTCGTCCGTGAGATCGCTAGCTACCGTAGTGTCGTGCTGTCGGACTCGGTGAGCTCCGATTCTACCCTAATATCGGACTCCAATGCTCGGATGATCTTCCGTTTATGGTACATCGCGTACACGTTTGGTCGGTCGACTGTGCTCCGTGTTGTACCGTGGTGCTATGGGAGAATTACTGTCCGTGCACTCTTGCCGCTACGTGCTCTACAGTGGCTTCGAAGTTGCGTGCTCTTCCGTAGCCGTGCATTTCAGCATGCTGGGGTGTCTATGTATTTAGTTCCCTTCCGTGGCCCGTACGCTCCCGTCATATTCTCGTTCTTCTGTTCTTTCCATGGCTGCGTGCACTTCCATCTTTCACGCTACGTAAAACACTTCGTGGTTTGCATCGGCTAAATCTTCTATCATCGTCCATGACGTTCCGTGCTTCGTGTTGCTGTTCTATCCCATCGTTTTTCGTGCTCTTGCTGAGTCGCGTGCCTCCGCGCAAACTTGATCACAAACGCTGTTCCGATTTTGTTTGATGTACACAACATATATTGCTGGAAAGATCACACAATATCTTAAGGTCGTGTGCAAATACAGAGGAAGATGATACTTTTCCCGGGGGCAGTGTGGGGTGCAGGGGGGTGTCGGGTGGGAAGTCATAATAGTCATATTTTAAAGTTTTCACATCCTAAAGTATCAATTATTAATAGTAGTAGTAGAGGTGTGATTTATTATAAACGTTAACATAATAATTATGTGGACTACTACTACAAATAACTGCAAGCAAAAATATGAAATGTCTTAAGAATAGTACTACGCAAAACAGTACTGTAAGTTAAATTATTACAAACCTACTACGAAGCAAATCAAATCATATTTAAACCAATAAGTACTAATGTTTTGATTGAGGCCGAAGTATGAGTCACCGAAGCCTACAAATTTTATCAACAGCACCTACGACGATAGAGAACGTGTGTGCTCATCGGCGCCTTTTAATTCAGCTAACTAACGCGTACACAGGCAGCGCCCTTCGCGTGGCCTTGCATACCGCAGCTGAAAATGAAAGCAAAATGAAATTTGAGCGGTACATTTTAAGTACGATGTGTTGACCACATACAGTGTGTACACCACATAATTCGATTCTAGCCAATCGAGGCCGCCTTCGCTGCGCTCGGCAGCCAGTAGAACGCGCGTATTAGCGTGAGGATTATTAACCCTAGCCCGTTACGGACGGCCTGACGGACGGACAGACACCAGACTCCACTAGGGGGGTAAGATTGTATACCGGTAAGCCAATGGTGCACATTTGCAACCGAGAGCAGCTCATTGACTGAATGACCAGTATCGTCCATGATTGGGTCAGTACTGCACTAAATGCGGCGTTCGATTTGCAAGAAATGTTGTAGGCGTCGAGTGCTTTTCTGGCTGGGTTTCTGTATGGGGGTGCGAAACTGGACATAAGGCTACAGTACAACGTTTCTATCTTTATTTTAATAGAGACAATACTCAATGTTGTTTTCGAGTACATCATTAAGTATAGCAGCTTATACGCTTGTCAAGCATACATTCACACTGGTGGTGCTGCCCTTGCTCCAACGCGTATAAGTAAAAACAAATCCTGGCAATCCCACGCAGCCGCTTGTGCAGTGAAGCCATGAGGCATAGGCCCAGCGTATGGGTCCTATCGAAGAGGGTATTTCGTAACTCGCACTGTAGGTCAGATAAAAAACGGAATGCAGCAAGAGCGCGTCGGTCTCACGTTCTTGCTGCTAAGAAATAAACAATATGATAAGGCTGACTGACTGCAGGGTTTTGCGCCTTGCTCGTCGTGTTGTACAGTGGTCGGGTACTAGCGAGGTCAAACCTTATGCTCACATGTACGCTGTAGTTTTATATTGCCAATAGTCTACGCCATCACTTAGATAAAATTGATGCCCTATAGGAGCAGATTAATTGTGACAACGTCATCACTATTGCTGTATACACCGAATTTACCCCGAAATTACGTCGATACTACCTGAACTCCGCAGCTGGACGGCCTTCGGCTTGTGGGACGATTCACAAAGTTTATTTTTATAATTAAGTACCCGCATTAGCTCTCACCAACTATATTACACTGACGTCACGAGGCAGTGATGGCCAAAAATACATTGCGGGGCATTGTAAAAACATTAAGCGCAAACAATATCTACGGCAACTACCCCCCCTTGTCTATTGCAATACTCGGCGAGTTTGCAGTACTAATGCAGTACTACAGGGCTCCCGATTATGGCATGGTCTTTTCAACTATTTCTTATGAAATCATAAAATTATTTATTTCTTCGATTTCCTGGATGTTATTAAATATTTATTTACATAAGGAATCATCCGACATAATTTATGAGCAAAATCTCTTTACTTTAATGCGATGAGTTGGGACGTATCCGGCATTATGTACCTCTCACAACCAACCATGACTTTTCACTACTGTACTTAAATTCTCACTTCTCTAAGGACACAGCTTGCCCACGTCCTCACTTTTTAATTTGAGCAACTCGAACAAAGCCCCTCGCTAAGCTACTATGGTCCATTCCACCTACTTCTAACCTTGTTGAGAGGTTCTTTAGCGACACCAGGACGACGTACGGGCAAGAGCGCCACAGCTTGCAACCTATTACATTAGAAATGGTGCTGTTCTTACGCCAAAATGGTGAGTATTGGTCAGCTCAGACTGTCGACGAGGTCACTCGCTAATTTTAACATGGTGTTGGTTTGCTTTACATTATGCTCTTATTTATTGTCTGTGCGCAGCACATGACATAATGTATGTGATGTCACTAGTTGCCCAATGCCATTATTTATGGTTAAGGAGGGTTCCCATTAAATAACAATGCCATAATCGGGAGCCCTGCAGTACTAATCCTGCTGCAGAATGAGAGCTG